TCACCATCTAACCAAACACAGGACAGGAGCATGCAGCACACTACATGTGAACCAAAAGGGTATGCTGAATGAATGCAGCACACTACATGTGAACCAAAAGGGTATGCTGAATGAATGCAGCACACTACATGTGAACCAAAAGGGTAGGCTGAATGAATGCAGCACACTACATGTGAACCAAAAGGGTATGCTGAATGAATGCAGCACACTACATGTGAACCAAAAGGGTAGGCTGAATGAAATCAAAGCAGCAAAGACTCAAGCAGGCAAGCTCCATATCATGCACAGAGATGGACACACAAATTTTAAACCCAAAGGAGAAAAGTGAGTGAGCATATTACTTGCAAACATTAGAAAACAAGTTCAATATATTGAGATGCATCCAAATAAGACAACATAAAAGCAAGATTAACCCCAAATGGCGTCAATATATCACAGGTACATATGGGTGGGTGGGGGTTAGATCTCATACAGAACAATAAAGATGTTGCTAACTCAGATAAGGAATTTGGGCAAACACAGTTCAGAAATGAAAGTAGACCAGAGACAAAAAAAAGTCAAGAAGCATATCTTCTCTGACACCAGATTCTCTCCAGCCAGAAGAAGACATTGTCAAGACTCGAATCATTGAAGAAAATCCCAGACACTGAACCAACTACTCAAATTGCGATAATCACATGTCGATTAGCATAAGTTGGTAGCGATGACAAAACTTCTTACTGCATTTTTTTTCTTTAATGCCTCTTGAAAAGAACCGTCTTTCAATAACCAACTGGCAGAAATTAACATTTTCTACTTTTTATGGATCGTTTCACAATTGTGTTACAGTAAACTTTTTTGTTGTTTGTTAAGGGGGAGATACTGACCCTACTAGCAACTCATACAGACTATCCTGACCATCAGAAGTTCTGGATGAATTGTGTCATTTCCCTCCTGTGGATCTTCCAAACACAGCATGGGTGCATGAGTGGACAGAACAACTAGTCAGAAATGTGGTAGTCATGAGACTAAGACCACACCTAGTGCTGTGAATAGTGTAGGACGAAAACAACATATAATAATAGACAACTTTCTCATCTTTTGGTGTTTCAAGGGAATGCTGAACAGCACCATGTATATACTGTTTAATCACTTCTCCTGAGAGGAGGAGGAGGAGGTGGTGATATGCATTTGCAGAAGGATAATGCCTGCTGACATGATGCCCATTCTACTCAACATGCTCTGCCATTTTCCTCGTTGGTACAATGTCCTATTGAACAGGTATGTAACAATACAGGATTCTTTCAGTTCACCACCTAAAACCTGTGCTGCATGGTACCAAGGTGAGCAATTACAGCTATATAACCAAAATGTTTAATGTTGAATAAATTACCTTTAATTGGAAGAGTGTTGTGAAACACTCTTTATAAAGACTTAATAGTAATTGGCACAAGCCTCATTCTGAAACTAATTATTCCCCAAGTTCTACATATCCTTTTCAGCTGATATTTTACAGATATGTCAAAAGGGCCCACAAGTACAATTGGTTAAGTGAAAAACAGCTTTGGCTGGTCTGGGTGACTTCCCTTCCCCACAGACAAATTCAGAAGACAAGGAATAAATTGCCTTTAGTTAACATGTACATGAAAACTGATTTCTCAACAGTAATTTTTAGTGATGAATAAAGTATGTAATTCAAACTGAAGTTGAAAACACTCAATTTATTTCAGTACAGGTAGATGAAACTAGTGATTGTACAATGTACGCACAGCTTTCTATTATAATCAGGTATGTTGCTGGATGTAAAATAAATGAAAGATTTTGAGGCGTGCTATCCTTACTGCCCGACGCCTGTGACGTCTAGTTAAAATTAAATTTAATTCACGAAGTAAATGTCACAGGCGTTGGGTGGTAAGGATAACACGCCTTGCCTATCTGCCCGTCGCTGAAGTATAATGTGCATACATACATTATACACCTGCGCATGCGGAGGAAAAAGAAATATTAACTCCAGAAGTGACGTCATATGGATTGCATAATAGCCAAAAATAGACTATTACAAATACATTTTTTCATTATGCCACTGATACGACAAAGAGACGGTCGTAAAATAGTAAGAGTCTCACCGTACTCATTCACTGTACCGGGACATAGATTTCTTGGACCGGGAACTGATATTAAAGATCTAAGATACCTATCACCGTTGAATAAGTTAGACGCTGCTGCTGCAAAAAAAAAAAACACGACTTTCTTTATAATAACCCTAATGTAAGTACCCGCGAGGCAGATGAACAATTCTACAAAGACACAGAAGGAACAGGATTACTGGGATCTGTGGCGAGAACAGCTATCAGAACAAAACACATACTTGGATTGGATAGCGCTTTTCGGGGGGATACCACTGACGTTGGCACTGATGGTTACCTACCGATGGGATCTGGAAATCATGCAAGAACTTACATATTCAGGCGAAGCTTCAAAAACATAGTCAAAACGACGGACATGAATAAAGTGGTAGGTACTTTCACTAGATACAAATCGAGTGAGAACGGCATACATAATGTAGGAGGGTTTGCATGGGCAGAGCCTGAGTCTAAGGACTATATTGTACCATATTTCCTAACAACATGGGTAACCTTACCTAAATGGGAACAGACAATATCAAACGCAACTTTGTATCGAATTGCAAAGAGCGGATTCATGATCGACAAGATTATTTGCGGGGAATGGATGACAAAAAACAACGAAGTTTTCGTACCAAATCCTAACCCTTACTTTGACATATACAAAGACATTGGTAGTTACGTCGGTTTCAGTAACATGGTAGGGATTACGAAGGTGCCAAACAGTAACTTCAGACTGATTCAACCGATGACTGGTACAGACGCAGAATTACCAAAATACAAGTACAGGTACACAGCGCTGGTAACATTACTGAACAACTTGCCGAACATGGGAAAGATGACAAAAAAAAAAGGACAATACGGACGTTAAAATGATAAACATACACGACTGGAGAGAAATGCCGGAGGTGGAACAGCTTCGACAAGGTGATACATGTATGGGAAAACAAGTCGCTTCTTAGAAAACCGATCACAAATACCATGGTACAAGGGAATTATGTGGCACAAGGTGGGTGCAGTTGTGGCTCAACTGCATTTCTTAATGTCGAGCATAAACACTGGTAATTCCAGTGCTTGGGACGGTGGACTTGACATGAGCACAGCACCAGAATGGGGTACAGACGCTAAACAAGCAGAGGAAAACTTAGATGCGGGTGGTTACAGAAAACGAATGAGAAAGAACATTCAGGAGGATATTGCACTAACAGAAGTGGCAAATATCAGCTTCGATCATCGGAGAACGAGGAAAGTGAAAAGAGAAAACTTGACGGAGGCTGGTAAAGCGGAAGAAGTTCTAATACAACAACAAACGTCGGGTTGTTTCACCGTGGCGAACCGTACGTTAATCAACAAAATATTATACATGAACGAAGACGCTCAGCCCATGATTTACATACATGTCCCACCGGTACTGAGACCGAATAACACAACGGGAACACTGTACTTTCAATTCGAGATAACATACTTCCTAGAGGTTGAATGTTACTACGAGTCTGTCTCATCCACAAAAGGTACCTGGTAACCTACCACAAATGCACTTTGGATGCCACATACGATAATTTCAAAAACTACTTAGCGGTGCCACCCAACAGACACTTACACGGACAGATACCGAAAGGAATGCAACACAATCATTCAACTCATATCATTCAGCAACCACAAGGCAAGGTTGCCGGATTACATCACAGTAAATTCGTAAACAAGTAAACAATGAACACATTCTGTGCATAAATAAATTGGGTCTGTTTAGAAACCAACACTGAAACTTTGTTACATATAACAAAGACAATATTCATTACTATCTGTATATAAACTGTGAAGGAATCAGAAATGTTAGAAGTTGCGGAGAAGACGTCACGACGTCAACACAACGCGAGGAACAGGAAAACTTCAACAGCGCAGTACTGAACGAGGAATCATGTGGAAGAAAGCTAACACCGTACACTTGGATCGTACGGTGGCAAAACGAAAAAGAATACATGATTAACAGTAACAAAAAATTCATAGAACCAGCAAAAATCGGCAATAAACTTCAAGCAGAACGACGTGCACAAGTACCTGAAGCAGATACTCAATACCAAGGCTCATATAATCATATATCATATGGCGAGTGAAAGCAAGTTGAAAAACTGCTCCAACATAGATCATTTTCACATGGTAACTTGGCACACCAATCACCCCACCAGCGAGCATAGTTTTATTATACTCAAAAAACTACTAAACGAATGGCCTCAGCATCCGTACAACATCAGCTGCCCAAAAGTGTACAATCCTTACGGGCTGTGTTCATACTTCAAAAAAGAGCCAGATAAACGGCAAATCATTGTGGCTGGAAACTTAACGAAAAAATGCTTCGTAGATTAACATCTAAGGAAATGGTAAAACACAAAGAAGATTCCAGCGACGACAACGCAGACATTAACAGCAAAAGCAAAATGCTAAGCGGAAAGAAATACAACTTCATCAAAAAAATCATGAAGAAGTGTAACAGTACAGACTTGATGGTGTACTGTAAAAATACCAGTTCAAAAAAGATGAGAGATACATGGGAATCTATTTTCAGAAATACTCCAAATCTAAACAATATTGTTTCGGCAGCAGGCAAGCGACGTAAACACCGAGACGAAGGTTACACCGATATGGGAGCAGATTCGGCAAAAAGGTGAACATTTCAGTATCGAAAGAAACAGATACTGAGACGTACAAACTTCACTGAACATATACGAAGAGTGGTGCAATTTTCACAATATTGACCTCGAGGAATTCAGAAAGAAGACATTCGAGGTGTGTCATAAAATAAGACACAAGATTAACAGATTACACATAACAGGAGTGTCAAATTCAGGAAAATCTTACATACTTCGATCAATTCGAAATGGTCTCATGAATTGCAGTAGAATGCATTATCAAGCAAGCGACAACTTCACATTCGGGTCCTGCATCAACAAAACACTCATTTATACTGACAAAATGTGGTTCACGCCACAAAATGTAGAGGAGGGTAAATGTATATTAGAGGGTACAGAAACTTTCATAAACATTAAACACCAGAACGAAAGATTGTTGAAGAGAGCTCCTTCTCTATCTACTTCGAATGACGACCCATGGCGACATGTCAGGGGCGAGCCTCATGTGCTGCAAAACCGGATGTATACTTACTATACAAGGAGACCAATGAAAAAACTAATCGAATGGGGAGCAATCGAGCTAAATCCGACAATGTGGCTAACGATATGGCGTGATCATATCAAGAACTATGTGGAAAACAAAATTGACACTGAATACATCAACGAACACAACCAGCCTCAGACTTCGTCAAAGTATGTGTTCCTTCAGTCAGGCTACTTCTCTCTGGAAAAGAAACGAAAACACTCAAAAGCAAGGAGGAACCTAAGTAAACTGCTAGAGGCAAGTGACGAACTAATAGAAGGTGATTTCGTGGTAGTCAGCGTCAATGGCAAGAAAACCACACGTCGATACATCGCCAGAGTCGATGTAATTGATGGTGATGAACTCAAGGGTGTCTTCTTGAAGAGAATCCAAGGCCAAAAACCCATGGACGGCAGACAGGCCTTTATTATCGACCACGATGATGAAGCATCATTCGATAGACAAGATATTGTAAAAAAACTACCCGCGCCAAACAACTTGTTGGGGAGTGAACGCAAATCCAACCAATGGGTTTTCCTCTGTGACCTGGAAAAATTCAATCTTTCATAGACTGGAATGTGACTGTATTGCCATGGTGGTGGTTGTTGTTTTTTTTTTTTTTTTTTTTTACAAGTGTACAGCTGGATACCACAATTGGACAGTAAAGTTGCAGGTCTATGCTTTTTTCTGAAATTTAAATCATTTTGTCCTTTCTTTTCCATTATTTTGTAGAAATATCTTTTTTCTCTCCTCAAACTCAAAGGGTGGTTCAACTTGTAAATTGAACCTTTCTAACCATTTTTCAAGTGCTTTAAAAATATGGTAGACATATTATGAAAACATCCAAATTGTGGATGGTCAAAGGTAAATGGCAAGTGCTCAATTTAACACCAGCATAGACTGGATGACATTACCACGGGAGACACCAGGTCAAAAAATCTAAAAAGTGGTTCATCTTATCCCATCCTCCCCTATATACTCGGCTCTCAGTCTTAAAGAGGCCATAGATTATGAAAAAATAAATGCCATATTAAATGCATACAGATTAGTACCGGAGGCATAGAGGCAAAAATTCAGGAAATATAAAAAAATTTGAATGGCAGACATACATTGAGTTCGCTAGAGAAAAAGATCTTTTTGATAGATGGGTTAGGGTGAAAAAAATAAATAATGATTATGATAAGTTACGCCAACTCATTATTATTTAAGAATTTAAACAATGTGTTTCACAGGAGATGCAAACAAATATCGATGAAAAAAATGTAGAAACTATTAACAAGGCCGCAGTAATCGCAGATACCCATAGCCTAACTCAAAAGAAGAGTTTTGAAAAAATTAATATAACCGAAAACCAGTCAGGCTTTCATATAAATACACAAACACTGTCGGAATCTTACCCTCATAATGTATCTCAGAGAAATTATATACACAAAAAAATAAAAGATACATCTAAAAGTTCTCTTCCAACAGAATCAAAAATTTCCTGTGCCTACTGTAAGAAGGATAATCACATCATATCCGATTGCCGAATCCTAAAAAGAAAACAGGAAGAAAATAACTCCCTTCAATCTCATGCCTTTGTTAGACAACAAATTAAGAGTAACTCCTTTCCTAAGTCTTACTTCTCAAAACTAGGGGTTAGAGAAAGAAATAAAAACTCATGTATGGAAAATTATAGACCATTTTTGTCCCAGGGTTCTGTTTACATCAACGACCCTGAGGCCTGTCCAAATCTTGCGAGACACCGGTGCGTCTCAAACCTTACTATTAGAAGGCATACTACAGCTATCGGAATCGACCTTCACTGGCGATTTTGTTTTATTCCAAGGTGTTGAATTGGGTGTCATTAAGGTGCCCCTTCACAAGATTTATAAAAAATCGGAATTGGTGAATAGTCCCGTCATAGTTGGTATATGACGAACCCTACCAGTTAAAGGGGTCTCCTTACTGTTAGGTAACGACTTAGCAGGTAACTGGGTAGTAGCAGAACCAGTTGTCTGTGATAAAATAGAAATAAACGATGAATTTGTGGTCAAAGAAAACAATAACGTATACCCTGATTGTGTTATTATTAGGGCGAAAGCAAAGAAAGCAAATTTCAAAAAAGAAAGATTCAACAACACCAGCTAATTGCTTACAATTGAATGAAACCTTTATATCTCATCATTAAGAACAAACCAATAATTCGGATAAAAAATTAAATAGACCACCTCCCCGAAAAAGAAATGGCACAGAAAAAATGAAAGACAATCAAATCAACTTGTTATTGAACAAGAAAAAGATCCTGAAATTTGTCTTTTAAAAAAAAAAAATACTCCCTTTAGAAAAAGCAAGAAAAGTTAGAGAATGCTTTTATATGAGCAATGGCATTTTAATGAGGAAATGGCGCACAGTGGATGCCAGTCTAAATGAGGAATGGAAGATAATAAACCAAATAATGCTCCCAAAAATATACAGACAAGAAATACTAAACATAGCTCATGATACTCCAATGTCAGGACATTTAGGAATAAATAAAACCTGTGAAAAAAATATTAAGTCATTTTTACTGGCCAAAACTTAGGATGTCGTCAATTTCTGTAACTCCTGCGACATATGCCAGATTGTCGGAAAACCTAATCAAAAGATTCCATCTGCCCCTCTGAAACCTATTCCAGCATTTGAAGAACCTTTCAGTAGAGTACTAGTTGATTGTGTTGGCCCTCTTCCAAAAACAAAAATAGGAAACCAATATTTATTGACAATTATGTGTACATCAACTAGCTTTCCAGAGGCTATCCCTATAAGAAATATTAAGGCTAGGACTATTTTTTCTGTTTAGTCGGGATTCCTTCGGCCATTCAGTCAGACCAAGGTTCGAATTTTATGTCTTGTATATTTCAACAAGTAATGAGTGAAATGGCTATTAAACAATACAAATCTAGTACTTATCACCCCGAATCACAGGGGGCTCTTGAGCATTTTCATCAAACGGTTAAGTCTATGATCGGAAAATATTGTTATCAATATAAAAAGGATTTGGACGAAGGGGTGCATTTTGTTCTGTTTGCCGCTAGAGAAGCTGTTCAAGACACTCTTGGGTTTAGTCCTTTTCAATTGGTTTTTGGACATACGGTTAGGGGGTCCTCTAAAACTTCTAAAAGAAAAATGGTTGATTGAAAAAATGAGATGCATCTTTTGGACTATGTATCAAATTTTAAAGAGAAATTATACAATGCTTTCAAAATAGCACAAGAAAATTTAATAAACTCCCAAATTAAAATGAAGTCTAGATACAATAAAAATAGTAAAAATCATAAATTTGAAAGTGGTGACAAAGTTTTAGTATTTTTACCAACTCTAAATCATCTTCTACAAGCAAGATATTTTGGTCCTTATGAGATAGTAAAGAAAATTAATGATGTAAATTATATCATCCGCACCCCAGATCAAAGAAAAAAGAAGAGAATTTGCCATATAAATGTGTTAAAAAAAATTACATCGACAGAAATTATGTAACTAATACCAAACCAGTCTCAACCTTAATAAACATTAATAATACAAATCAATTTGAAGATGATTTAAACAATGAAGATACAGTTATTAGGGAGGACATGGGTCAGAGTAGTCATTTAAAAAACTCGGAAATCCTGTCTAATCTAAATGTAAAATTTGAACATTTATCAAATGAGAAAAGAAATTCATAGTGATTTCAAAAATCTTTTTCCTGATGTTCCTAGAAAAACAACGTTTGCAGTATACGATGTTTTAGTTGGAGAAGAAAAACCCATCAAACAACATTTTTACCAGGTAAATCCAATCAAGCTTCAGCAGTTGAGAGCAGAGATTAAATATATGATAGATAATGACATCATTGAACCAAGCAACAGTCAGTGGAGTTCTCCTTGTATTCTTGTACCAAAACCTGATGGCACTTACCGATTTGTAAAAGACTTTCGAAAAGTAAATGCAGTAAGCAAAAGTGACTTTTCCAATTCCTAGAATTGATGACTGTATTGACAACATTGGCAAGGCGAAATATGTCAGTAAATGATTTAATTTGGCATTGTCAGTTAATGGCAAATGCCATTAACTGACAATGCCAAAGAAATTTCAGCATCTGTGACTCTGGATGGTTTATACCAATATAAGGTTATGGTGTTTGGGATGAAAAATGCGCCGACAACCTTTCAAAGGATGATGCATTCCCTTCTACACAAAATTCAGGGATGTGAGCTCTACACAGATGATGTAATTGTGTACAGCATGACTTGGGATGAACATGTACACATCATCAAGCAATTTTTTCTTAAGCTGGAAGAAGCAAACCTATGTATGAACCTAAACAAGAGATAATTCTGTCATGCAAAAGTAAATACTGTTGGTTAGGGACAGGTTAAGCCTATCACAGCAAAAGTGGATGCTATCTTAAAGTATCCTATTCCAACTAACAAAAAACAGCTAATGAGATTTCTCGGTATGGTGGGATACTACAGAAAATTTTGTAAAAATTTCTCATCAATAGCAAGTCCTCTCACCGACCTCCTTAAAAATGAAGTAAAATACAAGTGGAGTGAAACCTGTAATAAGGCTTTCAACAGAATCAAGTCGACTCTCATTGGTAGCCCAGCTCTTGCAACTCCAGTTTTTTCAAAACAATTTAAATTGCAAATTAATGCCAGTGATGTCGGTATGAGTGGGTATCTTAATCCAAGAAGATGATGAAGGTGTCGATAGAGCCATTGGATATTTCTCAAAAAAGTTAAACACCTACCAGAAGAACTATTTTACTATTGAAAAAGAATGCTTGGCGGTTTTATCAGCACTACAATATTTTGACTTTTACCTCAATGTTAATGTTTATCCTTTTCTGATTTATACTGACCATAATCCATTAACTTGCCTTCAAAAGATGACCAACAAAAATCAAACACTTACAAGATGGAGTCTTCTCCTGCAAGAATATGACATGATTATAAAACATTAAAAGGAAAGAACAATGTTATTGCAGATGTTTTATCTAGAGTATAAACTTTTCAAAAAATTTTTTTGATATTATGACTTATTGCTTTACAAATAAAAAAATAGACTGATATTGTCTTATAAAAGTTTTTCATTCTAATTTCAAAACTTTTACTTTGAAGCGGGGAAGTGTTACGAGGATGCATTTCTATAAAAATAAAAAAATAAAAAAGTCTACAATAAGATTAAAATTTATAGTAAGGGATTCTACTGAGTCCTACTTGTTGATACAAAAAAGTTTTCATTCATGAAGTAGTTGTAAAATAGAGAAATTAGAAATAGAACATTTGGAAGATTCTAGATCATTCCAGTATATTTGAGAAACATCTAGAAAAATGCTAATTAGGTGCTAGCCCCTATAAAAATAGGTTTTTGAAAAACAGTTGTCAGTTGTAAAAAGGAATTTCTGCCATTATCAACTCCGGCTTTTTGATTCAAAGATTAATATATTCAGCTGAAAGAATCTCTAAGAAAAGATGCCAACCAACAAAAACACAAAAAGGAGAACCTCATGGAACAGATCTGGTAAATAGAGTTTTGACTATTTTCATTGACCAAACTACAAATTA